GATATATATATATATATATATATATATATATCAGGTTGTACTCTGCAACCCTGCTATAATCACTTATTACTTCCAGGAATGTTTGTTGTCCATTCTTTTGGATTTTCTGCATAGATGATCATGTTGGTTTTGAACAAAATAGGTTTTTTTTTCTTCCTTTCCAATACGCATACCTTTTTAGTTTGTTTCTAATTGAATTAGCTAAGACTTCAGCAATGCTGAAAACCAATGTGAGAGAAGACACCTTGCCTTCTTCCTGTCCTTAGTGGAAAAGCTTCAAGTTTCCCACTGTTAAGTATAATGTTAGCTGTAGGATTCTTTTGTAGGCATTATTTATCAAATTGAGGAAGTTTCTCTTTATTCCCAGATTACTGAGCATTTTTAAAAATTATGAATGGGTGTTGAATTTTGTCAAATACTTTTTCTGCCTCTACTGATATAACTATGTGGTTTTCTCATTAGTCTGTTGATGTAATTGATTATATTAATTAATGTTTGAAATTTGAACTAGACTTGCATACCTGGCATGAATAATTTTTATACTTTGTTTTATACCTTAGACTATCATAGTTTAGACATTTTCGGGTTTGATTTGCTAATAGGTTTTTGAGAATTTTTGCATCTGTGTTCATGAGAGTTATTGGTCTGTAGTTTTGTTTTCTTGTAATGTCTTTAAATGGATTGGTTATTGGGGTGATTATGGATTTATTGTGAGTTAGAAAGTGTTCCTTCTGTCTCTATATTCTCAAAGATCCTCATTCTTTTTAATTTTTGCATTGTATTTTATTGGATGAATGTAACAAAATTTAATCTGACCTGTCACATATGAATGAACATTAAAATTGCTTTTGATCTTTTGCTCATTACCAAAAAAATGCTATAATGAATACCTGTGCACACACACATTCCTTTGCACGACTGTGGGTTTGTCTGTAGAAAAAAAATTAAAATAGTTTGTAACCTAAGTGTCTATCAATAGATGAATGAACAAAAAAATATGGTTCATATACATAATGGAGTACTATTCTGCCATGAAAAATAATGAGACTCTGTCATTTGCAACAACATAGATGGAACTGGAGTTCATGATGTTAAGTGAAATCGATCAGGCACAGAAAGACAAACTTTGCATGCTCTCACTTATTTGTGGGAGCTAAAAATCAAAACATTTGAACTCATGGATATAGAGAATAGAAGGATGGTTACCAGAAATTGTGAGGGTAGCAGGGGTCGAGGGAGAGGTGGGGATGGTTAATGGGTACAAAAAGAATAGAAAGAACGAATGAGACCTAGTATTCAACGGCAATGGCACAATAGAGTGAATATAGTCAATAATAATTTAATTGTATATATATTTAAAACTAAAGGAGCATAATTGGACTCTTTATAATCCAAAAGATAAGTATTTGAGGGAATGGATACCCCATTTTCCATGATGTGATTATTACACATTGCACGTCTGATATCAAAGTACCTCATGTACCCCGTAAATATATGCAACTATTATGTACCCACAAAAATTAAAAATTAAAAAAAGTAATACTAAAAAAAAGTTTGTAGTTTAATTGATTTCTCTGCTTTTATCTACTATCAGAGCTATAAAGCCCATTGCCACATCTTAGGAAGACAACTTTTCTGAAAAACGAATAGTGATCTATTTCTTGACATGAGTGGGAGTACATAAGCATTTTGTTTTACACAAATATATTAATCTTCACGTTTATCTTTTTCTCATTGTGTGTGGGGGGGCGGGGTGTTGTTACAGTCCACATTTTAAAAGCTAACAGAAATAAGTCAGCTGTATGCAGCGGCTCATGTCTGTAATCCCAGCACTTTGGGAGGCCGAGGTGGGAGAATTGCTTGAGCCCAGGAGTTCGAGACCAGCCTGGGAAACATAGTGAGATCTCGTCTCTACTGAAAATACAAAAATTACCTGGGCGTGGTGGTGCGTGCCTCTAGTTCCAGCTGAGGGGCTGGGGCTGAGGTGGGAGGATCGCTTGAACCCGGGAGGCGAAGGCTGCAATGACTGTGCCACTGCACTCCAGCCTGGGTGACACGGCGAGACCTTGTCTCAAAAAAAAAAAAAAAAAAGGAAAAAATGAAAACTAAGTCAATCGAATTCTGGTCCCCTTTTCTTTATACCGGTAAAGTTTCATAGCTCCTGAAATTAGGCTGCTTGAAGCAGGACACCATTCATAAAGGTGCTGCAATTCTCTAAATTCATACTTGCTAGACAGGGAGAACTCAGGGTCAAAGGCAGCAGGAGGAAGCCATCCCCGGCACGACTGGCCCCGGTCTCCACTGCTCGTGAAAACGAACTCATTAGAAATCGAGCTCCATCTTGTGGCAGCTAAAAGAAAAAACAAGGAAATGCAAGTCTTGCTTCACTCTCACTTCCAAGACCGCACTGGGAGAGAACCCTTGGAAAGCTTGATTATTTCTGGGCTAGCTCGCGCAGAATAAATTTCTAAGCACATCTTTACAAGTAACTTTGTTTTTTCAATACAGGAAGTCCCCTTCATTCCAAAATGTACATTCCAGAGACGGTGGAGGCTGGAGATCTCTCCTGTATCTCATCCCATTCTGAGTTACCAGTGCCATTATACAAAAGAAAATCTGTGTAAATGCTTCATGCCCTTAAGATGCTGGGGAAGGTTCAACTGTGATTCCATTTTATCTTTCTCTCTCATACCTCCTTCAGCTCCAAACACCATCTAGCTAACTGCTTCCCAAATGTTGACCTACACTGATGCTGTTTCATCAGAATCAATTGGGGAGGTGTTTTTTATTTGTTTGTTTTAGTATGGGTTAGGTCACTGCAACATCAAAGCATCTTCATTTACAAAGTTTGGAGCAGAGCACAATAATCTGTATTTAATCACAGATTAACTTTGTTCCCTTTGTGTAGTCCCTGGTAAACTGTAATGTGCAATCAGATTCCCCTGTTTGTTTTGTTTTGTTTTGTTTTGTTTTGTTTTTGAGTCAGGGTCTTGCTCTGTCGTCAAGGCTGGAGTGCAGTGGTGCGATCATGGCTCACTGCAGCCTCAACCTCCCTAGCTCAAGCGATCCTCCCACCTCTGTCTCCTGAGTAGCTGGGATTACAGGCACCCCACCACCACGCGGGGCTTATTTCTCTCTCTCTCTTTTTTTTTTTTTTTTTTTTGTAGAGACAGGGTTTCGCCAGTTTGCCCAGGCTGATCTTGAACTCCTGAACTCAAGTGATCTGCCTGCCTCCGCCTCCCAAAGTGCTGGGATTACAGGTGTGAGCCACTGTGCCCAGCAATGATTCCCTTGCTTTCTAGCGGTTGAATAAATGCTCTCTTAACTAGAGGACATAATAAGAACTAATATTAGACCATGAGAATTAGAACTAATGTTATTAGTACCTAATAAGTTCTAATTATTTTTATTTATCTATGGAAACTGTGTACTTATGAACTGTGTTTTGAAATGCCAATAATGTCTGCCTATTTTCTCATTGAAATAATAAGGCTTTATATTTTGCTCCATTTAAAAACTGTCATATTACTTTTATCCCTTCTGTACTTTCTATTAAAAATCACATATTCTGAGAAAAAACAGAGGAATGATAAAACATTACCTAAAATAAATGAGTAGGTATTGAGAGGAAGAGATGGAGGTGGTGTCTCTCTCTCTCTCGCTACTGTATCATTAAATTTTATTTCATTATTGCCATATGTGTATATATATATTCTCTAATCTAAGTAAAAAAAAAAAACTACTTGTAGAACACACCTCCTCCTGAACGTTACAATCAATCTCTGCTCTCCTTGACAGCAAATTCAAGGGCCACTTCCACTTCAGTTCTCTACTTCCTCATTTCACATTTTCACAACAACCCATTCTATATGGGTTCATTTCCTGATTAGTGCACTGGGACTACTCTTACTATGGACAACAGTGACATCTGTTGCCATGTTACCGCACTGCAGGTTCAGACATTCAGAGCTTGGCTCAGACTCCAACGGGGCGGAGGGTGGGGGCTGTCTCTTATACACATCTAGATGTGTATAAGAGACAGGTCCATTGATGACCCCTCCCAAATCTCCATCATAATCCACAACCTCTTCTCAGAAGAAGTCCTGACTGGTATCTACCTCCCTTCTCTGCATCTCA